ATGCAGACTAAATTACGTACACACACATTAATCCAACAGTGTACCAAGTATATCTCGTAGGCACATGACCTAGGAATATTTCTGTATGAGATCCACCTGTATGGTTAGTCGAATAATACAATAATAATGTTCAACTGGACCCGAGGGTAGTCCTGTCTACCGTTCCACCTGCATGGTTAGTCATCAACAAAACAATATATTCAACAAGAACCCTTTGAGTGAGAAATGAGAATAAATCTCAGCCATTGGATTCAACTAAGTTGCAGTATACGACACTTCATGATGCACTGAAATATATAATCTAGCACGGTAGCATTTCTGTAAATACTTCTGAAAAATCCGTATTACACGTGTCTAGTGCAACATGAAGCTATTTCGGTGCAACGCCGTCAAATATTAGTGCAACATTTCATATATATATATAGGACTTTTCATGTCTAGCCGTCCTGACGGGAACCGCCGTCCGGCCGAGGGCATTTCGGGCACTTTCCGGTGGAAATTTTTGATGAATTTTTTTGGGCATATTCTTCATCAAGTCTAGTTTATCCATACCAAATTTCAGCTCAAAATTCGACCGGGAAGGCATTCAAATAATTTTTTGAAGTTGACTGGGTTTTTATTTGTATACTTTGACGCAGTCAACTTCAAAAAATTATTTGAATGCCTTCCCGATCGAATTTTGATCTGAAATGGGGTATGGATAAACTAGACTTTATGAAGAACACGCTCAAAAGATTTCATCAAAAAATTCCATCGGGAAGTGCCCGAAATGCCCTCGGCCGGACGGCGGTTCCCGTCAGGCCGGCTGGACAAGAAAAGGACTCTCTATATATATATTTAAAATGGAAATATATAGATGCGCTTAAGCAGTAAGTTGTTGATTTTATTAAATACGATGAGTGCTTCTAAATCATTTTCTTTTTTAGTATATGGCACTTTAAGTAGATAAAAATAAAAATAAGTTTGAGTAAAAAAGCAAAGAGAATTGAGCATTGCATGCATTTTGAACCTCTATAAGTTTATATATAATGAGGTAATGTTTTGCACAACTTCAATTATTTTCTCAATGCAATTATCATACTTTATCTTAACGACTAGCATGCCCGTATTATACTCTACTTAATGATCATACAAGTTTAGAATTAGTAAAAAAAGATGACACCCGATTCTTGAGGGGAATGAGGGCCTCCAGAACCGTCCAGTTGGGAGGATGTAGATCTCTTGGATGAGGAAGCGGTCCAACCCAACTGGTCGCCGACTCACTCTCTCATATGGGAGGTCTCAGGTTTAGTTCTCAATGAGTGAGATTGATCCCAGTTTACCCCAGACCCCCAATTTCCCCTCCCCCGAAGCCCCCTGGTGTAAAAAAAAGATGCACATCTCCCTCTCTTTTGTTTTTTGTTTTTGTAGATCTCTTAGATAAAGCAATTGAAACACCAAACAAGACTTGGATATACACTTTGTATATGCTTTAATTTTATTTTTGGAGGAATATTACTCGATCTATTTGCTATTAGTGTTTTTCGTTTACAATAGTATACATATTGTGAGGTTTCAGTTAGACAATGAAGTGGGAAGCTCTATTTAATTGAAATTCCTTTGGGTGGAGCTAGGGACAGACAACTCATCTCGCGACAGACAACTTGTCTGTGGGGGACAGACAAGTGTACACTTTTTTGTGTACAAAAAGTGTGTACCCCAATCTTTTTTCAATTCCTTTTTAGATCGGTTTAGATCGGGAAGGTGTGCTGCTAGAGAGGCTAAGGGTTCACTTTCTCTTAGAATCAGGGATTCCATACTAAAAGGTCAACCTAATAATTCAAATTTTTACTTAGTATTTTATTGTTTTATAGTTGCGCTTTCCGGTGCGGGACTAATACTTTAACACGCCCTTAGTCCGAATAGGAAAAGATAATATTCAGGTGTATAAATGAATCAAACATACATGATACGCAATATTATGATATCATGTTAAGATATATGAGGTTCCATCCTAAAAGGTCAACTTGTTAGGATGAATAGTTCAAAGTCTTATATAGTGTTTTATTGTTTTATAGCTTTCCGGTGTGGGACAAATGCCGTAACACTTTCATTGTTGTACGTACCAGCACACTTAGTTTAACCTCAGCGGTGAGATCATATAAATATTACTAACTTGATCACTTTTTTAGTCTTACTTTTTATTAGCTAGGTTTTTTTTATCATCGAACAGGCATTCATTCATAAAAAGCACTCAGAAAGGGGTTGAAATAACAAAAGGATCACAGTAACCATCCGCCCGTGGACGAGACTCTGAGTTAATCACCTTTGACAAACCAATATAACTCGCTAATCCAAAATTGGGCATATTCAAAACCACGACGATTACCGCAAGCCTCTCATCCTCCAATCCAAGTGCAAAAGTCTTACAGCATAAAGTAAATAAGCAACAAAACACAATCGAAATAAAATAAAAACAAAACACAATCGACTCAGCAGAAATAGAAATACTCGTCCAAACCCTAGTCGCAGAATTCCTCTAAGGCGGCGGTTCTGGAGGTGGGCGGATCAACATCCCTTCGTCTTCTTTCACACATAGGCCACCAGTGAACCCCTGAAATTTGATTTTCCAGTCCGACAGCACGATGTCGACCACCAAAAACTCCATGCTATCACCAATAGCCATTTGTTTCGTCAAAGCTCAGATTTACTCTTATTATTTGGATATAATAAGATAGGAATTCAACCTTCCACCTAATTTGACATCACGATGTCAACTTGTCCTTAACGCCTACCTTCCACCTCGATCGCAGCCAATTGCACTCGTCAGTCTGTCGTCAACCTACTGCTCTCGACCCTCAGCCAAAAGTCAAAGTCGGAAAACGAACCAAGCGGCGGCCAAATCCTAGGAGGACCGAAGGTTTAGAGAGCAATGCTCTCATTCCGGGAATTCTCTATATGATATTTTATTAGCTAGGTTAATATGTATGTTTTCCTTAGGCTGAATTGAGAATGAATTAATTAAATGGAGATTATTTGATGATATCCTTAAGTGTATAAACAAGCTCATTAATCCGTGAACAATGGCTAGTCATCTAAAGTACGTAACAGAAGAAATTTGGACAAGTTACATATATTAGACTTTCTTAATTTATCCCAAACTTGATTATTTATGAGAAGCAAGAGTTATCTTCTTATATGCCCAACTATGAGTAAATGAAAAAGAAAGAAGAACAATACACATAGCAAGATCTGTGAAGAGCACACTGATGATATAGTTCTACTTGAAATTCTTGCTTGCATTGGTCATGATATACTTCCTATGTTCTTTTTTAAATGCAACAGTCCACTTTTCACGTTTGTCAACGCACAAGTTTGATCATTAATATCTTTCATACTTTATTAGTAAAAAACTTAAAAAAAATTGAAACTTTAAAATGAGAGGAATTTAACAATATTTTTTAATTTTAATTTATAATACATTAATAAATAAAATAGAGTTAAAGTAGAACATGTGAATAGTGGAAAAAGTCCAATGTTGTATTTAAAAAAGAACAGAGGGAGTAGATTAAAGGCTTGGGTTATAGTCCTAAACCCTCAAGAAAATGCAACAATGTTAATCCTTATAATATCTACTTTTGAGTTGGAGTCTTAGAAGCATGGGGCTGAAATTACCAATTTAGGAATAAGGTAAGCAAATTCTTTTGAGGTATGTAATTAGTCATTTTTTAATTTTTTAAAGTAGAAGTATAAGATAGTAAGTGATCTAATAATTACTTTTTTGTTTTCACAATGATGTACTGATTATGAGATATAATATGATTTATGAATTGTTAATATAAATGATAAACAATGAAGGCAACTGTGGGTGCTAAGTTGGTAGGTGAACAAATGAGGAGGCGTATATGGGAAGAGGATGTATAGAAACTAGAAAGGTCAAGAAGATTGGACAATGGACACTTATATTGGACGAGCCAAAAAACGGGAGGGAGCGGCCCAAAGGCCAAGCCCGTCTCGGTTTTTGACCCATTTTCCCTTTTCTAAACTTAAGTTTTTGTGTCCTAAGTTATTACCGATTTATTTTGGTTTTTCCATATTACTCCCTTTTCTTAAAAATACTTCCAACTTTCTTTTTTGGGCGTTCCAAAATAAACTTCCACTTTATTTTTTTGACAAAAAATTTGTAATTTATAGCAATTCTTACATATTTCTCTCTCTGCACAATTCTACACCACACAACACAATCTTAATCCCGTGACATTTGTACTAAATTTAGGATCGAGGGAGTAATTAGTTTTTAGGAGTCCGTTTCAAATATGGCCCCAGGTGAATGACGGGAATTCAGATTTATTACTTTTGGTTTATATGTATATATCCTTGTTGGCATTAACGAGTCATATTACTGTTTTTAAAGGTCATTTACTCTAAACTTTATCTATGGACTAGTGATTGAAATCATGATATTTTAATATAAGTCATGACTATAAAAAAACTATGACTTTAGTGACAATTACAATTTATCATTTGTTTGTGTCAAGTAAAATTGAATGAAGTTTTATACTTGAATATTTTAAACAAATTTTTTTTAAAATACATCTTCTGTGCAACATAGATTTATTATATTTGAATATCACACACACTATGGTCCATATTTTGTAGAGTTGGCCTCAAACACAGGGAACCAGAACCGGTCCCGATTATAATTGCATATTAAATGAACTTGTAGGCAGTAATAATGATCAGTCAAGTAATTGAAGTAAGAATTGCTTAATCCATAGTTGATATATTTGACCTTTTTAAATGAGTAGCGTAATCCAGATATGTAATTAAGAAGAGTAATAAATACAAGGTCATTTCCACGTAGATCAAAGCTAAGCTCAACTAATAATGCAAAACCTACACAATCTGGACAATTAAATGAAAAGTTCATTTTAAAAGTTTTGGATATCGATTTTGCTAAAAAGAAAGTTTTGGATATCGATCCACAACACATCTTACGAAAGCATTCAATGGATAGATTACGCCTCCATTGAAGCAATACACACAATATTTTTTTAATTTATTATTTTAGTGGAGTATGAAATTGTGGAGAAATAATAATAATTTAATATTTTCTTAAGAAAATATATCTTTTTTCTAACACATACTATCACAGGTGGCCCCACCTCCACTCCATTGTCTCTCTATATATACCATCCCACAGAGAGCTCTCAATCTCACTTCTCATCCTCTTCTACTCTCCCTTTCTCTCAATCTCATTACTTCATATCTATATATTTTATTAATTATCAAATAGTTATTTTATTGTTCTTTTTTGTGAAAAATATTATTTAAAACCCCGAAATTAGCCGATCATCAATCATGTTGTCTAGGGACGCTCTCCGTACTGTTGTCGGTATCATCGGTAAGTTATTTCATTTTCACATCGGTTAATTAAATTATTTCGGGTGTATATAATTTTTTTTTACTATATACTATACAGAAGAAACAAATTATATGAATTATGAATTATTGGTTCTATTCATTTTCAGGTAACGTGATTTCGTTCATCTTGTTCTTATCACCCATGTGAGCTTCACTTTCTCTCTACCTAAAAGCTGGCCAGCTTACCCCGCCGGCCGGCCAAGTATCTCAATCTACACCAATATTATATTCTCTTTTTAATTTATATATATATATATATATATAATATTTTAATTTATATAAATGTGTTTAAATTATCCTGTAACTAATTAAATAAAGCCACCGACTGGCGACTGACATGACTGTTAGTGTCAAAATGGGAAACGATACGTGAAAAAAAATTGAGTTAAATTTGATATGTCACTTTTAGTTTCGGTGGAAAATGACTAAAATTCATAGATTAAATTATGATTTTTAAAAAAGAACATTTTGAAAGAGAAGACTTTTGGTCAAATAATAACGTCTGAGGTGAAATGTGGTCACGGGTTAGTTGTGAGACCGTCTCACGCAAATGGTACTAACTTTTTAACGTTACCATGCATTTCATAGAAGATCGAACATGACATGTTTCTCATCGTTTTATTTAATGTTTAAGTTTTTTTTTTTTAAATTTTCTCTGTTTTGTGATTTTATTTATCCAAAGATTGAAATGATTTATTTTTGAATAATACCGAGAAATCTTGAAATATACTCCGTACAACATTTTGAAATCATTTACCTTATTGATGTAGCTAATTATCATTCCAACCTAAGAATAATTTCATCAAGTTTAACTTATTGTCATATTTTGACAGAATGAATATGATATATTTTTCAAACTTGACACCGATTATACATATTTTAGGAAGTAAAAACAAGTTAGTTCTATTTTGGAATTTCAAAACGTTTCTACTTCTGTTTCGGGAATTTTCCCTTATTTTTTCATCATTTTGAAAAAAAGTCCATAAATAAAAGTATGGGTAACCTTGGAGTTGATTGAATAGATTTAATATTTTAAATATTTAAAATTATATTTCAAACAATTGAATGTGCATATATAACCTGCTCAAATATGAAAATTTAGAATTAAATACATTTGCAAATAAAATAAGGAAAAAAAATTACTCCGTATATGGAAGACTGAAATCATCTTTATCCTAAATTTAGACAAAAAAAAAAAAGCCAACTCCAATTTTATTTGTTGTGATTATCACACCATTCACCTCCTGAAATCAAAATTGGCTGATAATCGGGAAAGAAGTTAAGTTAACAAACAATAAATTAACAAATTAACAGAAAATAAAAAAAGAAAGTAAATAAATTGAATAATAACAATGTAGAAAAAAAATGTGCAATTCAGGCCAACATTTGTGACGATATGCAAGAAGAAATCGGTGGAGCAGTTCTCGGCCGTGCCGTACCTGGCGACGTTCATAAACTGCGCTCTGTGGGTGCTCTACGGGCTTCCGATGGTGCACCCGCACAGCCAGCTGGTGGTGACCACCAACGGTATCGGTCTCGCCATCGAGACCGTCTACCTCCTCCTCTTCCTCATCTTCTCCGACTCGAAGAAACGCCTCCGCCTATTCCTCATCATCGTCGCCGAGATCGTGTTTGTCGGCGTCCTTGCCGCCCTCGTCCTCACTCTCGCCCATAACTGGAAGCTCCGGTCAGCCATTGTTGGTAGCATTTGCATGGCTGGAAATATCATGATGTACGCCTCTCCATTAGCTGTCATGGTACGTACGTTTGCCCTATTACCTTATTTTATCTTTCTATCTCTTAAAATTGGTAAAATATGAACTAATAAACAATTAGCATGTATAATTACACTTGTTATATTAGCTCCACCCGTGTTTAGTTAATTAATCATTTTTTACAAAGTACATCTTCATACTCTATATCATTTTCATAATCATTTAAAGGCTAACATAATCGACTAGAAAAGTGAAAAATGAGTAAGACAAATACTTCTATTCTATAATTAGATTTTATATTAGACCACATAATTTATTACCCTACATATTTTACCACCGTGAAAATACTTATGATATTTTTTTACTGTTACTATTTTTTGTGTGTGTCCATAATAGACTGATACTAAATGGCCCGCCGACAATGAAAACGTTCAAAAAATAGTACTCCACTTTTGCTATTAATAGATTGGTTTTGTTTATCACGCTTTTCTGCAGAATAACTGTAATTAGGAAACGTATTGGATTGAAGTTATAATTGAAAAAACAAGGTCATTATCCATAAAAACCAAAACAAGCTATTTATGATTAGGTTTTACGTTATTACGGATTTTGATTCTTGGTACCAACTTTTGGATGGAACTTCAATTTGTTTAGGATTGTGTTAGATCAAAAGCATATGAGTTAATTATATTCCACCATACAAACAAAACCTTGAATCAGGCAAAAGTGACTACTAACTCACTTGTTAACTCTAGAGTTAAGACTTCAGATCCATTCTTTTATACAATTGTTTTCCTAAATCTTCAACAATTCCTACTATTTTAATTAAATAACCACTACTACCTTGATTATAAGTTTTTTGTAAGTACTAAAAATTGAGTGTAAGGGTGTATTTACTTTTTCATATTTTCATTGTTTTACATCTTTGGTTTTGGTTTAAAGCCTGTTTTCTCATATGTGTTGAACTGTTGATAAGGACCAAAATTTCTTTGTTCAGTTTCATGACAAAACTGAAAAGCATTAAATATTAGATTGCTATTATTATTATTATTATTTAATACGGAGTGTATATATAATATTAATATTAATATTAATATATTATTATTATTGTTATTATTATTATATTAATATCGGTGTAACTGCATATAAAGATTCGTACGTTTTTTGGACGCGTGTTATATAAGGAAGAGCTCCGTGTGTATACGTAAAATGTGTGTTCAAATTAAAAAGTACTGGAAAATAAGATGCACGTGATCTGTTCATGTTAACATAACCTATTTAATTTCTGCTTTCCCTGAAATTTAGTCAAGTTTGATTAAGACGTCAATGGAAAAGTGGTATTGAAGTTTTGAATAAGCTAAGTAGCATTAATTAAATAGTTGTTACTAAAGTGCAAATGTCTTTAGATCACCTCAATAGTTAGCATGAGAAGAGACTATTAAAATTAAAATGAACTCTCCATGAATGAGTTTAGTCTAATACATATGATATGATGAACTCTACCGAATTATATTTATACATAATATGATATTATGATGTGATATGAATTATCTTTTTTAAAGTACTATCGTATACTAGTATCATACATAGTTATTATGCTTGTTATAATTTTGTTAGATTTCTTTTATCGGTTATATATATCTCATTAACTTTGTCACTTTACCTTTTTACTTTAGCACTTTACCTTTTAAATATAAGTTTAAACTTATAGAGTTATAGTATATGTTACTTTATTATTCTACATTTTAAAAAAGTTATCGAATCTAAAGGACTTGATGTACGGAGTATTATAGGGGTAAATGCATAAATGGTACCTCAACTATTGGTAATGTTGCATTTTGGTACCTTAACTCTTAAATGAATCAAAATGGTACCATAACTATACACAAATGTTTCGAATTGAGATTTTATTCAATTTTTCGACCAAAAAATTACACGTGGCGGTCAGAATTCTATGCGCAAAGTCTACTTCACCTTATTTTTGCCCATATGATCACTATAGAGTGACTCTACGCATGAAATTTTGATCATCATGAAGGACTTTTTTGTTAAAAATTTGAATAAAATCTCAATTTGAAACATTTATGTATAGTTAAGGTATCGTTTTGATTCATTTAAGAGTTAAGGTACCATTTATACATTTGACCCGAGTATTATACATACATATATTACACAATACTCCGTACTGTATTATATATATATGGATATACACACAGAGACATGACTTGTACTTGAATTTGTTTTTATTTTTTTGTTGGATAAACACGAGCTATATGTATTAATTAAGCAGGATTGGGAGGTAGGTAGTAGGTGCAGTGGGGATGAATAAATGTGTACGTTTTGATTGTGTGTTTTTTTCCAGAAACTGGTGATCACCACAAAGAGCGTGGAGTACATGCCATTTTTCCTCTCTTTGTTTTCCTTTGCCAATGCCATTTGCTGGACTACTTATTCCTTCATTCGGATTGACCCCTATATTCTGGTAATTTCAATTCAGTCCCTTTATTTTTTTAAAAAGAACAATCGATTTTATTTAAAGATATAATTCAAAACGAAAAAAATGAACCTCGAGTGCAATTTGGGCTTTCAGGCACCAAACGGAATGGGCGGTATACTTGGGCTGGCCCAACTGATACTATACGCGATGTTCTACAAATCAACCCAGAAGATACTCGCAGCGAAACAGGCCGGAGATATCGGGCTGACCGGAAAGGGGGGAGAGACCAAAGCAGCCCAACTTGAGCCTTGAAATGGAATAAGAAGTGAAGAATGGGTTTAGATTTTGCAATGTTTGCCCTAAAGTTTATGTGTGTTTGTTTTCAACCCCCACCCCCTAATTATGATTGGAAGTAGGTAAATGTAACTTTAAAAAAAAACATGAAAAGACAAATTCTGGGCAGGGTAAGGAACTTGCCTGTTGCTTTCGATCTCCCATTAATTTCTTCTTCTCCCATTAATACTCCACAAATCAATCAAGTCGAGCAGTTTGGTCAGGTAAAATCTGGAACAATAATGGATTGAAACTCATTTGCAAGTTGCAACGACAGACCTGATTTGACTGCAATTCCAACCTCATCAATGGCTATGATCAATAATGCATTATGGAAAAGAATGGAATGGAACCACTTTATACAATGTGGCAAATTTGAGATTTGCCACTACCTAGAATCTAGATGACTGACTGAAAGGGTCAAGATTGGAGAAACCCAAATCCACTGTGGCTTTCAACGCCCTCACCAGTTGCTCTCTCACCTTGTTTGTACTTACTAGTTACTATGTTAACACTGGGTGATTCTTACTCCCTAAACTAATCCGGGGTTCTTAAGAACTCACCCCAAACACTCGAGAGAAGTGCCGCTTGAGGTGGGACGATGCCTTGATTAATTAATCACTCATGCTAGTCTTGAGGGGTTAGAGAATCATTATTTGAGTAAATGTTCTCAAATTCACCTGGTTGATAACTTTATCCTAAGGTCTCCACATATGAATCGGGATTCTCTGCCTTGCTATGGCCCGCAGCAAGGTACAATGCATGGCTTTAATAGCCACACGATTCAACCAAGGCAGCCCCCACAGCCTCCCCCCCCCCCCCCCTTTGTCCCTGCCGTTGGATGACGCAAGGCACCTTTGGCGTTGGATCCAAATCCTCCACATAGGGAAGATCTTTAGTGCGTGATATGGTCCTTGAACCACTCCACTTTGTCATGTTTGATGGACCTAAATTGAGGTTGGAACAAAGAAGAGAGAAATAACTACCATCACAAAATAATTGATGAAATTGCATAGTGACAATATTTTTTAGACAATGCGGAAGGGTATTAGGGAAAGATGAGAAAGTTTTAATGAGTGAATGTAGAATCGGTTATCAGTATAAATGATTTTCAAATAAATTTTTTCACATACTTTTACATATAAAAGACAAACATTTTTCAATTTGAAGTTGGTCAAGCTCAACCAGTCCCCTAACTTTGTCCCTATTAGTAGGGATAACAATGCAAATGGCACATTGGCACCTCAACTAATGATCCACACTTTGGAATAACAATTACTAAATGAACAAATGAATATCCGAATTATATAATGTTCAATTCATGATACTTCATTACTTCAATTGAAATTATTTGTCATAGTAGTTTGAGTTTACTCCAATTCATGTTTCAATTAATAAATCTAGAAGTTCAGCTCTTAAAAAGGCATTGCAATATATCAAGAATCACACTTCACACTTGACTGATAATTAATTGCACAGTTTTTCCAATTTTCATAAAATCAGGGTTATCAAGTAAGATTATTTTGACAACGCAAAGAACATATTTAAGTAAACTAGCTAGTACTAGCCCGGGCTATGCTAATCAGTACGGAATACTACGCTTTCAGCTAGTCGCTCTGGAGCACGATCTACCTCTCTCTATCGCTTGGATTTGTCCGCTATCGGTCTGTGCCGAGGATCGGGGCTGGATTTTTCCGCTAGATTTTTCCGGCCAATTGTTGGAAAGCATCTTCTCTCTAGCGGTCATCTCCCTACGAGTTAGGTTCGTTTCTTTTGCTTTTGTCATCAATAAAGATCGGTCGTTGGTAGATTTCGATCGTGAAAGCAGGATCGAGACCAGGGATGCAGCGCTTTGGCGGCCATAGCTCGACTTCTGCTATTGTTTCTGGTCGAAGATCGAGTGTTGACAAAGAGAAGGTGCATAAGCTGTGGTGGAGTATGTTTTCGATTTAGCAGGCTAGCAGCAAGGGATGTCAAAGGAGGATATCATCATTTGATACAAAAGCATGACTATTGAGGCGGATGAGCGGCAGACGCGTCCCCCTCCTGAGCCGCCGCCTTGGAGTGCAAGCAAGTCTAGGGTTTGGAAGAAGATGGGTGAACTCTGTTTTAATTCTGTTTTGTTCTGTTTGTATTTTTCTTTCGAATTGCATGTTGTTTTAGACGTGTTCTTATTTCCCAGCAGAGAGATTCTAGATTTGAAGTCAGGTGATGAGAAGTCTGGTTTGCTAGTCATTGGCTCAGTTAAGCCCATTACAGGATCAACGAATATTATTGCTTCTACAGAGGTGATATATTCAAAGTCTGGTTCGAGGGTGGACGGCAGACATAAGGCTTTTTATCGTTTTTTACTTCTTTTTATTTGATTGTTTTAACAGCTATGTGACGAACGTTATTTTGATTTATTGGATTTGATGATAAAAAAGTTAAGATTATTTTGACTGAAATTATAAATGGTACCATCATGAAACATTTGAATGTATTTCAAATATCAAATAGTTTCATTCAATAGTTTTTTTTAAAGGAGAAAAGGCTTATATTAAAATGATAGAATCAATTAATCATACATTTAAATTATTAAAGTACACAAAGTGCTTCAATTCAATAGTTAAGCGTTTATACGTTTAACCCTTCTTCATATATTATCTAAATTTAGGGTATGTGGAAATTTGAAGCATTATCTCCCAAATTTAAATACGTAGTATTAAAAAAAACAATCGTCCTACATGTAAACACTGGGTTACAAGCAGATTTACACGCTCAAGTGCAATTGTTTATGTACAAAAAATTGATTTTAATTTTAATTAAGGGAATTGTCTGCGACCCTCAAAAAATGAATTGTCTATGCATCGGTGTCAGTGTGTCACAGACCCTTCCCTTTATATCAGTGTATACTGTATACAAGTAGCATTTTTCTAATAAAAAAAGAGAATTTACCCAAAATAGGACAAAAAAGGTTTGAAAATTCCAAAATAGGACTGTCATGTTTTTATTTCCAAAATATGACTAATTACTGCCATGTTTTGGCAGTTCCAGACTTCAAACATGACAGTATTTTTCAAACTTGGCAGTAATTATTCCTATTTTGGGAATAAAAAACATGACAGTCCTATTTTGGAATTTTCAAGTTGTTTTAGTCCTATTTCGGGAACTTTCCCATAAAAAAACTCCCTTAGACCACACAAACTGACTCAAAGGATGTTTTCTTTTGGACTGAAATTTGCTGGTCTGGTCTGGTCTGGTCTGTTTAAGTCTGGTCTGGTCTGGTCTGGTCTGGTCTGTTTAAGTCTGGTCTGGTCTGGTCTGGTCTGAACTGGTCTGGTCTGGTCTGGTAAACGTCTGGTCTCTGTGTATTTTATAACTACGGAAGTCTGGTCTGGTCTGGTCTGGTCTGTTTAAGTCTGGTCTGGTCTGGTCTGATCTGTTTAAGTCTGGTCTGGTCTGGTCTGGTCTGTTTAAGTCTGGTCTGGTCTGGTCTGGGACTGAAAACAGTCCAAAAGAAAACATCCAAAGTCTGCATACAACTTTCGATCGTTATACCGAAAATTTGGTGCATTAAAATAAGTTTTTATAATTGTATACTTCGGCATTGGTTTATGATGTGCTAATTCAGCTAGGGCATAGACCATTGAGACCAAATTAACCTTAACGGCCTGTTTGGATGGAGTATTTGGAAGTGTTAGTAATGGAAGTGTTAGTAAGTATTAGTAAGGGCTCGGAAGGGAAGGGAAATGTAAGTGTTAGACATAATTTTACCTTGTTTGGGAGAGTCAAATGAATGAAGTGTTAATAATTTTACGTTGAGGCAAAAGAAACGAGTATAGAGAAGAGATGAAAAAACAAACCATCAGACCCGTGGGAAAGACATTCGAAGTGAAATGTCGAAGCATTTTATGTTTTTCGGGTAAATGAGAAGGGTAATAATTGTCCAACACCTCAAAACACTCCAAATCGGGGTGTTAATAAATTGGACAATTGAGGTGTTGGGAAGGTTATTATTAACACTTCCTAACCATTACTAACACTTCTTAACACCTCTGGATTTTTCTCCCAAACAAGTGTTACCATCAATACTTACTAACACTTCCATTACTAACACTCCTCAACACTCAATCCAAACAGGCCGTAAGGGCCGTTGACTTTTTTCCATTAAATCCTGTATGGATTAAAATATATGTCTAGATTAAACGACTGTTTGAATAAGTGGTACAGAGTATCTGTTTATGAGACTGTTTATTTAATAACCGGTCTGGATTGAATAAAATAATCGTTATAATATTATTCTTGAGTTATAATGTCAATGAAAAGTTTATCTTTTTAATTAACATTATTACTTATATAAGAACGATTAAGTCATGCTTTCACTTATGTCCTAAGCAAACATGACTCAATGGACATATGATTCAACCGTTATTCTCATTAAGTATATTAAGTCAAAAGTAAATAGCCCTAAGAACTTAATAGTGGTCAATTAGCTATTTGAGCCGGTCTGTTATAACATCAATTGGGAAAACCGGCTATATATTTTGAATTAAATTGGATTTCTTTCGGTTGCAAATTTGACCAGATCAGATTAAACCAGACCAGACTGGAGCATAATTTAATACACCAGATCAAACTTCTACAGTTGTAAAATCCACAAGACCAAACATCAACTAGGCTAAGAGCGCGCATCTCCAATACAAAAACGTGAGCGGTACATATGTGGCATGAGAAATAGTCAATTAATAAAATACAAATAGAATATATCTCTCCTTATTTGAACGGTCTTATATGATTTGTGTAAGTTTTTCTTCACAATGTCAAACACAATGTCTAGATATAAACATTGTGGTTGATATTGTTGAGAAAAACTACCAAAAATGCATAAGAGCATGGAAAGAAGGAGAGAGAAATTTAATAAATTTAATCTGTTGTGTCTATCTATCTCATGACACCCGCATATTGTGCATAACTGCATACTAAAGCATCTAATAGACAAGTTTAAGTCAAATTAGAAAATTTGAGTTCAAATAAATCTCCCTGAATGGTTAACAAAAAACATAAACGCGAATTATGTTTGGCATTTTAAACTAATAAATAATCAACTCATATCATCAGTAAAAAAACTCATATAAATAGGAGAAGTTAAATTAGCAAATCCTAAATAAAAACATGCTGTCTTGTTTTAGTCGTCTTCTTATGTCTTATCTTTCCTTATTTCATTATATTATTC